ATTTATAAATGTTGTAAGTGTGAAACGTTGCAAGTCGAGGACTGCCTGTACTGTGAAGAAGAAAACTGGTCACTGTTTTCTCTTCTTAGAACTGAGAGGGTGGTGGTATTTACATATGATTCTGTGGTCTGAAATAAACCCTGAATTACTAGTCATCCAGTTCTTTTCAACAAAAGCCGTAATAATGCTTTTCGCCTATCACAAGTAGTCAGTTTTCAGAGTCAAAAAGAAGCTATAAGGCTGAAAAACAGGAAGATGTTCTGGATGCAGGTGTGCTTTATAGCTATCTGCAGTAAATTATCGCTACTTGTAGGAGGCCCATATGCTGGTCCACATTGTACTGCTGGTGACTAAAGGAGATGGTGTAGCAAAGGTTGTTAATGTTAAATTAGGGTGTCGTCAGTAGCCCCAGTGTGAATAATTTCCCAAAAATCATTCTGGGCAGTTAGTAAGAGTTTATACCGGGGTGGGCAAAATGTGGCCTGTGGGCCGGACGCGGCCCACCAGGCCATTCTATTTGACCCGCAGGGCCCCTAAAAATTTAGAAAATTAATAGTTACCTGCCCCTGGCTGCCTGTCATGTGGCCCTTGATGGCTTGCCAAAACTCAGTAAGCGGCCCTCCACCAGAAATAATTGCCCGCCCCTGGTTTATACCATTAGAAAGCTGTGCAGAGGGACAGACGGTTGTATTGAGCTTTGTAGAATAATAATTCTGTCAAGTGCTGTTTGTTAGCAGTGTTTTAAGCATGCAATAGGTAGGCATGTTTTAGTTACATTATGCTGTGCTCTGCCAGTTTACTCCTTCCTTTCATCCTGGTCAGTATTTATCTGCGCTTCATACTGCTTAATTTTTTTGAAATTGCTCCACTACATTTCCTATGAGAATTTCTGCCATGATAAGATGATTTGCTGTGACTCAAAACTTCATTGAAGTTCATTTGAAAAAGTGTCTCATTCCACCCTGCATAATATAAAGGTTCCTGGCTCCTGGAACATGCTATCTTGTTCTTGGTATAATTCTGCAAATAGGTGAACCAAGTTATTAGCTTTTGAAGTCTACCTTTGAAGTCTCACTGCAAAATAACATGAGTTATCCTCCTGCTAAATCAGTGTGATTGGTGGTGTTCAGAATTGTCAAGAATCTCAATCAGGATGAGAAAATCATTGTCAAGCATTGTATGTGCACATAATGAAAAGATATGAATTTGCCTCCAGAGAGTTTACGATCTAAGTATATGCATGCAGATTAATATAACAGGTGAAGTGCCAGGTAGCAGTGAGATGATAATGATTATCTTGAAGTGCCAGCTGCAAATGGATGAAGATTTTGTGGCTGTATCAGGCATGTTTCCTGCTCGTACAGTCTGCTTCAGTCTCTTCACACTTGGCTTACCCTGGCAGAGGTAACTTTTGTTGGGGAGAGAGGCTGAGTGAAAAATAACATCTCCCTGCAACTTTCAGTTTTGATGGTTTTTAAATCTGTTTCCGCTTTGGAGTAGTGTACCTCAGAAATCAGATGGCAGACAATTATATCTAAATGTTAACAGAGGCTAAACCTTTTGTCCTTTGGATGAGATTTAAAAGGGGTGCCCTGATTGTTGTCCTGATCCATCTATTTGCACTTTTCATCAGAACAGAGGTATTAAAGTAAGATTATTGATCAGTAAAATAGAATTCTCCAAAAGGTGTACAGCTTCTGTGACGTAGAGGCAAATCAAAATGGAGAACATCATATTTTTCCACCTCCTTAATTTCCCAAAATAACTATTCCAGTAGTACCATTTTTCCTCTCATCCAAGTTATTTTTATTTAGACACAGAGATGCCTGTTGCTACCTCTGATAATGCAGTGTCTCTTTAAAAAAAAAAAAAAAAGGGGGGGGGGGG